CCAGCCTGACTCTCAAATCTGTGCCCTTTCTACACGCCCGCAGTGGAGACAGGCCCTTTCTGTCCCCAGCTTTCACAGGCGCCACGTGAGGGCCCTTCGTGGCCCCCAGTGTGTGTGCCTGCCCTCCAGGTCCCGTGCGCCGCCCAGACCCCGGGAGCAGGACCTCACTCAGCCTTGCGGGCTCCGCACTGCAGATACCTCTCTGCAGTGCTCAGCGACTCCCAACATATTTCATCCTCACGTAAACAAGGCTGGACCTCAGCGATTGTAAATGATTAAATAGCTAACTTCTGGGAGAGAGAGGAGAGCATTCGTCTCAGGTGCTGATAAAACATAAACGTATTTTTAGAATAAGCTTGTGCTAAAAATGATGAATTGGGTATGAAAATTACCTTCTTCAGCTGCTTGCAAACAGCAGGGTAGACAAGTGCTTTGGATCCTCTTCCACCAAGAGAGAGAGTCCGGCTTGGGGGAGCCACAGAACCCTGGGCGTAGGGACAGAGGGCCCCCACACGCCTGCTCCTCAGCCACCTGCCGGGGACCTTGACTTCCATGAGGCAAAAGAAAACGCTGGAGTCTGAGGGACCAGGTCTGGGGCTTTCACTTCTCCCGGCCCATTCCTGCTTGCCACCACCCTCTCGCCTCCCGCCAAACCTCCGTGCAGGGAGCAGGCTTTGCCTCCTTTTAGAAACCCCCCAGGTTCTGTAAACATCACTCTCTGACTCCCACTTTTGAACAAACCAAAACAAGGAGAAAACACAGACCCCACCGGGTACTTCCACGAGGTCAGAGAAAGTGACTTGCACCTTCTTCATCCATCCTTTTGCCCCACCCCCTCCCGTGAGCCTGGCTGCGGGCCTGGAACTGAAGGGCCTGCGGCTGGCCAGGTGCTGGCCTGAGGCTAGCGGTCATCGGCTGCTGGCTCGGGGCAGCTGGTCCATTTCGTGATGCGGGGCGGGCGCCCAGGGGACGCTGGGCGCCTCCAGCGCGGAGCAGCTGGCTCCGAGGAGTTATTGCAAGTCTGCACAACTTAAAAAGCTGCAGTTTGGCAGTTTGGGGGCGGGAGGGGGGAGCGCGGGGGTGGGTCCCGAGCGTCCCATTTCTCCTCCTCGGGCGGGCGGTTCGCGGAGCCTCCCTGCTCACTGCAGCGGGGCCAGCAATGCCTCTGGACCACACGCCGCCCTGGCCGAGGTCCGGGTGAGCGCCTCCACCTCGGCCTCGGGCACCGATCGCCCTCGGACCGGCCCCTCTTCCATTGGTGGGAAGCGGACCCAGCTCGAACCCCTTCCGCTCGGAGCGTCGGTCCAGCCCCGCTTCCGACCGGGTAAGTGGAGGAACGGGGCGTGGAGAACAGCCTGGATCTGCCCTGTGCTGGGGCTCCAGGCAGCGGGCCGGTGGGAAGAGGGCAGGACGCGGGGCCGTCTCCTGCCTCGCACTTTGTTTTGAAACAAGTTGGGGCCTCGTGACTTCCCGGGGAAAGCCCGGCAGGTCTGCAGTGCCGCCCGCCCGCGCCGGGACTGGGGCCACGGGGTGGCGGGCGGCTGCCTCCCGCGGGGTCGCGATGCTCCCCGACCTGGAGGGCGCGCCGGCGGGTGGGGTGCGCGCGCTCCTGCTCCTTCCAGGACAGGCACGTCGCCCCGGGGGTGACTGTGCATTTGGGTCCGGCGGGGACGCGCTCCGGCCGCAGGGCCGCCTCTCTCAGCCCAGCCACCTGGCGGCACCGCCAGACCCCGCAGCCGGCAGCCCGATCCCGGCCCCGGCCGCGGCCAGGGGTGGGCGGGGCTGAGACCCACGGGGCCGGGGCAGCCGGCCAGCCCCGCCCGCTCCGCCCCGCCCCGCCCGTGGCTCCAGCGCCCGGTCCTGCGGGCGGGAAGGACAGACGGACAGTGGCGGGCCACCCGCTCTCCTCGCCGCTGCGGCAGCGGCCGTGGGGCCGCGCGGCGAGGCCTGATCCCTGCGGCGCAGCACGGCGGGCGGCGCTGCAGTCAGAGGCACCGACTCCCGGAGGTACCTACGCGGGCCCCCTCCCCGTGCGCCCCGGAGACTCGTCTCTGCGACCCCGCAACTTTGGCTGCCCCAGCACCCCCCCCCCCCCCAGGTGGCCCCGGTCGCCCGTGCAGGACCCGGGAGGTCTACGTCCTCAGGGGACTTTGCCTGCAGCTGGGCGCTCCCCTCCGAGCCGCCTGTTGCGCGAGCGGCGGCCGCCGGGTGGTGCCGGGTCCCTCCGCGAGCGGCGGGGAGGGTCTCTAGGATCGGCGCTGGGGCAGCGGGTGGGGTGGGGTGGGTGGCGTGGGGAGGAGGGGGGACGGGAGGCGGAGAGTCCCTGAGCCGGGGAGAGGCGGCGCTGGGCTGGCTTAGAGCAGCCCCCGACGTCCTGTAGTCTCTTCTCCGAGAGGAGGGGCTTTCCCGGCGCAAGAAAGTGCACCCCGGCCGCCGCTCCGCCTGCGCCCGGTCTTTCGCCCCCTCCGCTGGCCCCGCAGAGGTGCCGGGCGCCCGCCACAGGCCACAGCTGCGGGGGAGCGGGCCGCGTCCTGGTGCAGCGCTGCGCGCCCTGGGGCGGCCGGTGCGCCGGGGCGGGAGCCGCTTGGGGCTCGCAGGACCCGCGTGGAGTGGCCCACAGGCTTGGCGCTGGGCTGAGTGGCTGTGATGGGAGTGGGTGCTCGGGGTGGGTCGGGTGGCTGCCCGGCCTCTTGAGGTGAATGGGCAGGCGAGTGAGCCAGACCTTCTGGTGAGCCAGGCTGGCGCCTTTCGCACTGCAGGGCTCTTCAGTGTACAGCCCCCCCGCGCCCCCGGACCCCACCTCCGTTGTCCTTTCTGGTCTGTTGGGAAAGGAGCACCTTTTGCACCCTCGGTTTCTCCCTCACCTTGGCTGGGGAGACCGGGCCGGTATTCTAACTCAGGCAGTCCAGAACCTCAAGGACACTCCTTCCCTTCCTACACCCCCCCCCCCCCCCCCCCCCCCCGCCTGCTCAGGCCCTCCCACACATTTGCTTAAGTGGTTTGCATAACCATGGGCTTAGAACTGTTAAGCTACCTCTAGTGGCCCCCCTTTCATACCACTTGCAAATACCTGTCCAGGTAAACAGGAAGCAAGCATTTTCCTGAGCACCTGCCCCTTGCCGCAGGCAGATGCCTGCTGCTTCTCCTCCCCCGTTTGTTTCAGGCTGGAGGGTGGCATTGGTTCGGTGGTTGAACTTGGAGTTTTGTGTAGGTCTCGTTCCTTACCTGGGTGGTAAACTTCTTGAGGACGTCGATTCATTGAATGCGGCACACCCCGGGCCAGGCTCTGGGCTCTGCTCTGGGGATGCGCCCTTGTCAGATGAAGTTTCTGCTCTCAGTCCAGTCCTGTGTGTGTGTGTGTGTGTGTGTGTGCTTATTTTTAGTTTTCACCAGACGTCTTCCTTCTCCTGTTCTAATATTAAGTTTGTCTTTTTAGAACTAGGAATGATCAATATTGGGGTAGGGGGTAGAGAGTCATAGCAAAGTGCTTAAGAACTCTGAATCCACAGCATGCCTTGAATATTAAGGGGACGGTGGTAGAATCTGTTTTAATCCAGTCCTATGTCTGAGCCATGATTTTCTGGAAAATTGGCCTGAATAAACCCATTCACGAGGGCAGCAACGCTAAACTTTTGCTAGTCAAGTGTATGAGAGTAAACTGGGAAGTTGGAAGCAATTGTCGTTCTGTTTAGAAATACTAAAATATTAAACACCCAGTGCTCTGAAGCTTGGGTGTGCCAGCAAAGCACCAGCTAAGTATTTCTTCTCCTTCTCTTCCCCTCCTCCTCCTCCTCCCCCTCTCCTCGCCCCTCCTCCTCCTCCTTCATCATCATCATTAATATTACTATTTTAAGGAAGGAGGGGAAGAGTGGGGCCTCCAGATCAGACACCTCCCTGTCTGCAGTGATTTTCTCCCTCGCTGCCATCCTCCTCGGACTCTGCTTCCCCCTGTCCTACCAGAGCCCTCGGTGTGCTCTGGGGGTGGCATTTACTGGTAGGCTTGGAACGTGTGCCGGCTTTGAGAGAGCAGGAACCACAGGGCTTTCCTCCTCCTTTTTACAATTTATTTTTATTTTTAAAAAATATACTTTATTGATTTTTTACAGAGAGGAAGGGAGAGGGATAGAGAGTTAGAAACATTGATGAGAGAGAAACATCCATCAGCTGCCTCCTGCACACCTCCTACTGGGGATGTGCTCACAACCAAGGTACATGCCCTTGACCGGTATAGAGCCTGGGACCCTTCAGTCGCAGGCCGACTCTCCTTCCACTGAGCCAAATTGGTCAGGGCTCCTCCTCCTGTTTTTAGTGGGTACCATTTACTGACTGCGTAACATATGGCAGCTACTCTGCTCAGCACTTTTCCAGGCATTATCTCACGTAATCCTCAGAACAACCCCATGAGGAAGTGTCTCACATTTGTTGTTGCCCTGTTCTAGGCACTAAACTAAAAGCTCTCCATGTATTACCTCATTTCATCTGGATGACAACCTAGGAGGTGTGCTCTATTCTGACCCCATTGGAGATGAGCAAAAAGAGGCACACCGAGTAGCTTGTGCAAAGCCACACACCTAGGACAGTGTGAAGCCAGGATTCGAACCCCTGGCCACCTGGCTGCAGAACCAATGTGAGATTCCTTCTTCCTTGCATATCCCTACAGCCTTAACACTGTGCCCTGTAGGATGGGGATAGGTAGAGGTGGCATATGGTTAACAATTGACCTTTATTGGCCTCTGAATGTGCAATAAAATATAGAAGCTGATTTTTTAAAAAATATATTTTATTGATTTTTTACAGAGAGGAAGGGAGAGAGATAGAGAGTTAGAAACATCGATGAGAGAGAAACATCGATCAGCTGCCTCTTGCACATCCCCCACCGGGGATGTGCCCGCAACCCAGGTACATGCCCTTGACCGGAATTGAACCCGGGACCTCTCAGTCTGCAGGCTGACTCTCTATCCACTGAGCCAAACCGGTTTCGGCTAGAAGCTGATTTTTTAAAAAATATGCAACACTTTACGAATTTGTGTGCCATCCTTGTGCAGGGGCTATGCTAATCTTCTCTGTATCGTTTCAATTTTAGTTTATGTGCGGCTGCAGCAAGCACTAGGAGCTGATTTAGAAGAATTTTCATCCTTTATCCTTTCTCTAGGTCACCTTTTGCAACTTTGCAGCACACCCACACCTGCCCTTTCCCTATGAAAAGGAAGTCTTGTTGTTGAGCTATAGTTACTGGACTAGGTTGTAGTATTTTTCTTTGTGGGCAACAGGTCTCTCACTCTCTTTGGATCCTGCAGAGCCTTGCACCATGGTTTGCTTGGAGTAGATACTATATAAAACTGTCTTTAATTGCACACATGTTGAGTGATAAAAGCCCAAGATCTGCTTTTGGCCAATCATGTTACAGAGAAGCAGTTAATGTTGACAGCAGTGGCTTTAGTGTGCTTGCTGAAATCCCCAATGAATGAAGCCTCCTGCAGCTCATCCTCAACTGAGCACCCAGCAAATTCTTACCAACTTTGACTTCATGATTGACTTGTGTAGCCATATATATATATATATATATATATATATATATATACACACACACACACTTTGCATATGCAAATATGTATGCTCATTCATTCAACTCGTGTTTGAGGACTTACCCAGTGTTATGTATTATGCTAGGGGCTGGGTATGTATGCAGTGTTAAAGGAAACAGACATGGGGGATGGTTGCGAGATGGGTAAGGAGTGAGATAGTAAACAAATCAGTGCAAACATTTTAGTAGTGGCAAGTTTTCTAAAGAACTTCCTGGGGGAGGATAGCAAGGGTAGGGAGGGCTAGTTCAGATGGGAAGCTGGGAAGACCTTTCTGAGGAAGAGATTTCCAGGCTGAGCCAGAGTATGAGGACTCTAAGGCAAGGAGAGCATTAAGCATTGTTGAGGGAGCTCCAAGAGAACTGGGCGGCTGGGTGGCTGGGAGGAGGTCAGAGAGAAGGATGGGCCAGATCCTCCTGGGCTCTTTAGGCCAAGTTCAGGATCTTAAGAGTTTATTCTGAGGGCTCCAGGAGGGAATTAATGGAGGTTCAGGAGCCAATTTGTATTTTTAGATCGTCAGTGAAAGCTGTGAGGAATAGATGAGAGAGATTCAAGAATGGCAATCGGCTCTCTTATTAAGAGGTGTGGTAGAGAGATGGGACCTACAGCCAGGTGGGACTGAGTGAAAAAGAATGGGAGGTTGGTTATGAAAGGGAACAGAGAGCCAGAGTTTGTGTATATGCCTGTGTCTTTGTGGAAGGTGGCCTTGGCTGAGGTTAGGGAGTTGAGTCCAGCTCCTTAATAAATCAGCAGATACACATCTCTGTGTGTGAGTTAAATGGTGCTAGCACTGCTAGAAGATTAGAAATTTGAAACCTAGCTCTGGCTTTGTCTCCAATTGCTGGGTAAATTTGAGCTTATCATTTGTCCTTCCTTGTTCTGTTTCCTCCCTCTCCCCCACCCCCCCACCACGCAGCTTGGTGATTTTATGATAAGAAAAATAGTTACCTTTCTACAAATATTCTTCTTCAATGGAGTCATTCATTTATTTGTGGTAATTTGGATCCTTTTCATAAATTGAATTAGGAGAACTTTGAGTGGATGTGTGGGAACATTTGTGGTGAGATTCTAATCATTTGCTCTTTGATGATCACCAATAAGCTGCTTTCAAACTGACTTAAATAGAGAGACACCAGTGAAAAGGCTGGTGGTGAGGAGATGCTAAGCCTCTCCAAGATATGTGAGATGAGGCCAGGTGGAGAGCCTTGGCCTTGGCTAGAAGCCAACTTCCGTCTCTCAGGGGAACACTTCCTTACCTGGTCTTCCTCATTACATGAGACACCTCCGTTGTACCCATGGATATCTTATACTAGTAAAAAGATGCAAAAGAAGTGCATTTGTTATGTCCTCTGGGAACTCATGTTTAGAAGAATTTGCTGGCCTAAAGATCAATCGTGAACATAACAGATAGTCTGATGAGGCGTTGAAGAAGCAATAGGATACCCAATGATCAATTTACGCTTAGGGAATGAGAGTTTACATAGGAGCACAGAATGGAAAGTTACTCCAAAGATCAGCTAAGACATTTGCTGCCTCTTGAAGACTTCTTCCAGGAATGCTGACTTATATCCTGGCAAATAATTTGTGTGTTGAGGTAAAGGAATGCCAGAAGACTGAAATTTTGGACTTGAACATGCTTACATTTTTTACGCTCATTCTTCCACTGACTGGGATGGCTTTCTTACTCCCTGATTGGCATGCGTAGGGAAACCTGAAAGCATTTCCTGTGATTTACTTAAGGTAAAGAATTCAGTTGATCAAAGAGATGGGAGAACTCCATGGTTAAAGACTGTGGTTTATAGGTGTGGATTGAGGTGTGGGTTCTGACAGAGTTATTTCAGCATTTTTGTCTTTGAGCTCAATAAATCATACCTTCAGAGTAGTGTTTGTCTTGTGTATTTTTTTTTAAGTTTAAAATTTTTTTTTTTAAGATCCCAGCTTTCTAACTATTGTGCCCTCATGAAGCCACTGTCATAAGACTGCCACCTGCCTTCCTCCCCTTGGTGATAAGGCATTGCCTGGCCAAGATTTAGCCACACGGTGTTTCACGGTTGAGCCTTCTTGGGAAGCTTGCCTCCTCTCTGCTGAAAGTATAAATTAAAATGCCATTATGTAGCAGTGCCCTATCTGCATCTATCTATCTATCATCTATCTATCATCCATCTATCTATCTATCTATCTATCTATCTATCTATCTATCTATCTATCATCATCATCTATCTATCTTTGCCAAAGTGAAAAAAGGTATCACTATCCCCATACCTTCTCATCATTTCCTTAAATCACAAATCTTACCATGTAGGCTCTCTGAATATGCCAGAAAAGGATCTCATGAAAGCTTATAAGATGCCTTGAAAACGTTACCTTTTAAGCAGTTTCCCCAAACTTCTTGATCTAATTAGAAATGGAATGTCGGCATGGTGCACCTCTCTGGTGATAAGGACTGAGCTTTTGTCTCTCAGCTGCTCCAAGCTTAACATGTGGAAGCTGCACATCTACTCTCTTTGACAAGGGCTTTGAAGTGGATTACAGGGGCCACAGCTACGTGACGTGGCCCTAAACTCTAATGGGTTTGCTGTTTCTTTTTACCGGTCACTTCCATCACCCACATCAACAGTTATGAGCACTCTAGCAAGCCCTGTTTTACAACCTTCATTTGTAAGTGAGTCTCAGCAACTTGGAAATACTCCCATGTAAGCATGGTTAGGTATGGGGGTTCGGTTTCCGACTACGCCACAAATGTAGTTAAGTCCTAAGGAGCGGGAGGTGAGATGGTTTGGAATAAGTCGAACGCCAGGATTGTGCAGGATATGGAGTTCTCTCTCCCAGGACCAGGGCCCCACACCACATGCGCATCTGCACAGATACACACTCGGGGGCAGGCAGAGTGTTCATTAGTGTGGGCTGCTTAGCTGATCGGACAGAAGTAGACAAACCACACAGAAGTACCATATTGAGTGTAGCGTTTCAGTTTTACAAAATGAAAAGCGTCCTGGAGATGGATGGCAGCGATGGTTGCACAGCATTATAAACGCATTTAATACCACTGACTGGACTCTAAAAAACTGTTAAGATGGCCCCGCTGATGTGGCTCAGTGGTTGAGTGTGGATCTATGTTGCTACCTTGATCCCCAGTGGGGGGCGTGCAGGAGGCAGCCAATCAATGATTCTCTCTCATCATTAATGTTTCTATCTCTCTCTCCATCTCCCTTCCTCTCTGAAATCAATAAAAATATTTAAAAAATGGTTAAGATGGTCCATTTTATGTCATGTGTATTTCACCACAATTTAAAAAATTGAAAAAAATTTATATTCCAATGCTATGAAATAACATTCTCAAATGTTTTGGTTTCAGGACCTTTATATGCTTAAAAATTATTGAGAATGTCCTAAAAGCTTTTGTTAATGTGGTTTCTATCTGTCAATATTTATAGTAGAAATTAAAATAGATACATTTTAAGAAAAGGACAATGGGGAAGTAAGGGGGACATATGTAATACTTTCAACAATAAAGATTAAAAAAAGAAAATAGATACATTTTAAAATAATTATTCATTTAATAAATAATATCATTAAATGTTAATATAACTAGCACAGTTCTATAAAAATAATTATATTTTTTCAAAGCAAAAGTAATGTAAGAGTAGCATTATTTTACATTTTTATAAATGTATTTATTGTCTGTTTTAATATAAGACAGTGAGATTCTTAAATTTGCTGCTCCATTTAGTCTGCATTCTCACACAGCATATACCGTCTGGAAAACTCCTTTGGATACTTGTGAGAGAATGAGAATGAAACAAGAAAATAAAATCTTAGTTTATTATAAAAAATTTTGATCAAAATAGTCATGGACCATTTAAAGAGTCCTGGGAACCCCAGGGGTCCCCTCGACCACATTTTGAGAACCACTGGTCTAGAATAAATCCACAGCCAAGTTAATTTTTTGTTATGTTGTATGTTTTAGCTTCTGTTCATCTAATATCATCCGAGTTTGAACTTTAGCAATTCACTGTATAACTTCTATGATTTCACATTGAAGAACAAGATGACCCCTTCAGAAAAAAGTACCATATTTTTTCCTAAGTTTATATAACAGACAAACAACAGCCATCTCCCCCAAATTCTGCACCATTCTATTGGGAACATCTTCAGAAGCTACCGAAATAGTTAGGTGTGGAACTATTTTGAATTTTCCTACTCAGCTGACTTGAATGGGACACTCACAGACATGGAAACTTTGTGAAAATCAGGGAAAGAAAACCATGTTTCCCCCCAGGCTATGCAAAGTTTACCTCCCCCCCCCCCTCCCCGCAGCATGCACTCCTATTTCCTGTGGAGTGAGGACTTCCAGTGTCTAGGGTGGGGGGAGGCTGACCGGTCCAGGAACCGTGCCTAAAGCTGTCTCCTGAGCTCCGTCCTGAGCTGTCAGCTGTCACTGCTGTGCTCGCTGCTGGACGGGACTGCTCTTCCGAAGGAAGGTGTCCTCACTTCCTTCCAGCTCTGCCCCACCTCCATCTTCCCT